ATGTCGACAATTACTTAAGCTGCTGTTTGCAGGTGTGAAGGCAGCGACAGACAGCACGTGAAGGGAGGGGCGTGGTCTGTCGTGCCAAGAAACACTTGGCAGAGCCCAGTTTGATGGGGCGAGTTTCGCATCCGTCTGGATGCGAGCCCGGAACCAGAACTCCTCCGCCGTGGCCCGTGGTGTCTCCTACCCTGCAGCACTCTCTGCCCAGTCTCCTGGTCATCTTTCTCTTCACTGGACTTATATAACTTTAGGGTATGAAACCGGTATTAACCAATCACCAGTCTTCTCAAGATCCAGAGAGATGGTAGGCGTTACCTTCTTTCATAGCGGAACATCATTGTGCCACACCGGCCGCCTTGGAGACATGTCCGCAGGAAGGCCGAAGCTTGATCTGGTCAGCTTGTCCTCCCCTGGATGTCCTGGTGTTGAATGAACAGACAGACTTCTGGACATGATTTTGGAGGCAAGGTAACCGGATTTGGAGCTTCACTGCATGGTGGGTGGGTGATCCGGCTAGAAAAGGAGTGAAAATGGGAATTCCATACCACTTCCGACTCAAGTTTTCTTTACCAGCATTGACGTTTTCAAACCATTGGGTAGTTTGATCTTAGATTACTACCACCACAAATAATTCTACTTCCCTATCTTCTGATATCGTAAAATCGCATTTCTCAGTGTTTGTTTTGCCTTTATTGTTGTTGTCTTAATAAAGAATAGCTTATCGGATTCAATTACATAGCACACAATCACCTGTAATCCTTGCAGCGGCGCGGTGGCTCCACGCCTGTAATCCTAGCACTCTGGAGCCGAGTGTGGATTGCTCCAAGCCAGTGAGAGTACTCGTACTAATAGCTAGCTTGATGCGAGTCTTTATCGCGCGTCTTAGCAAAGAATAAGGATGAGGAAACTAAGCATCTTGAGCATAAGCGAGAAGGAGAGAGAGTATTATCAGTGAGAAATCTGAAGAATAAAGTCCGGGCGAGACAGGAGGGCTATAGCGCATGCCTATCTGAGAGTCTCTCGCGCACTTAACCAGGGGAGCTTTGAGCAGACTCAACCTATCTATGAATGATTTGCTCTTGAGTCAGCCAGTCGATATGAAGATATTAAGCTGTGAGCGGACACAACTGCACAACGATGACAGCGACTGAAGGACGTGTGCACTCCTACGGCGCACTATATGTGAGGTTACTCACACTCAAAACAGAAAAAAACTATATATGCATGAAAGACTTGCCACTCGTAGAGCCAGGCTCATAACTTGGCGTGCCGCGATCCACACTCTGCCCTCTGGAGCCCTGAGTGCGCACGGAGCTCACCATCAGAGACTCAGGATGTTCAAGGCTCCCGTCTGTCTTGATTAAATAGCACGGTCATGCTGAGTACGCAGCCAGCTGCCACAAGAGAGTCGAGCGTACACCAACCCTCTCTGTCAAGCCAGAGAAGATTTACATATTCAGGCATGCTTACTTAGTGCTCAATACATATCTTTGTCTTTCACATCACAGTCTCTTCATTATAACTAGTTATACCTCAAGCACTGTATGACAAAGTATGACAAAGAATCTCAAAGAGGTATCGACATCGGAGACATACCGGTAGCGAAAACCAATGAATATGAAGAAAAACAAATCACCCATCAGCCCCTTTCTACACCAATTATAATCACCCAGCTGGACTATGCTTTAGTTACAGACTGGGGTGCAACCCCTCGGCATCAGTGACGAACCATCAAGCTCTTATAAGAGTAAAGACGTCTCACTGTGGTCGTCCTATGTATCCGATGGCCAAGCAGATCGCACCTCTACATAGCTTCATTGCAGAGGCAGGTAGTGGACACCTCAATAACTCTTGGGCTCAAGCAATCTCCATGCTTGAAGCCTCCCAGGCCGAGAATACTGAACTGGAACTTATATTGTGAGATTATGATAGGCTTCAAATAGCACCAACACAAGTCGACTGGGATCTTATCTGCCCTAACTTAATTTTTCCTATTTTTTGCGAGAGTACTCGGTGACAGTCCTGCTGACACGCAGCCTCATACCCCTGGATCCTGATAAACTAACCTATCCTCACAGCCTTCGCTTCGCCCTAGCACATGAGTCTAGATGTTACTAGCGTGCCGCACAGCAGCGCACTCAGTCTATTCTATGAATATTTTTTGCGTGACTACATTTTCAGATCTTCTATTTTAAATCCTCTTGAGTTAGGCATATGAGACACTTGAGAAGTGTCGCCTTCATAGTCCCTACCGTCTCTAGTCATACGGGCTGACCCTGCACTATGGAGCCTTTTTTTGCTCACGATAACTGAGAGCGAGCGCCATCCTTTGCGCGATTATATTATGCGCATACAGAAGAAAGCGAACAGAAATAGCCTTTTACTCTACGCACAACAGACACGTGTCAGCCGAACTATGGACGACCCCTGGCCCTCTGAGACAGGCTTCGAACCTGTCACGAGAGATCTCAGTGAAGGACCAGGGGTGGCAGCCGAGGCAGCACCCAGATACAGACCACACGTACCGTCCCGCCTCGAGAAACTACTCACTGGTTGCCTGTTACTGCGCACCTGCAAGCATGCTAGACTCCGTATCTTCAGTTCGTTGCCAGTCCAGATCTTGGCAACGTCTTGCAACACGTCCACACAGGTCCGAGATCCACACACGGGATATGCAACCTGACTGATAGACAAGAAACGGTGAGAATTCAGGAAGACCAGACATTACAGACAGTGTTGAGTACTCTCCGCGATGGACACTGCTATAAAGCCATCTGAAGGCAAGCAGCCACCGCGATAGGGAGCTGAGGCAGGGAAGATTCCGCTTAGCCTCCAGACATAACTAAGTCTATAGCTTGAATTGATGTAGAATAGAGACTAAGCTGGACATGATGCCAACAAGACACTCTAAGCTCTGGGCAGGACCCAGAGCAGACTCTGTCTCAAAAACCAAACCAAAACAAAAAAAGTGGTTTTGGTAACAAATACAGGGAATGCATTCAGGTGAATTAATAATGCAGCAGTTTGTGTTACTTAAAATTATCGCCTTGGTATGGGAACAATCATTGATTTATCTGCTATTCATATATTATTTATAGAGATAGACATAGGGTTCTGTCTCCATTGGATAGCACAGTGTTGAATCATTTCAGATAATTCTAATATGCAAGCTGAACCCTGTAAATATCAGTTACCTTTCGTGCTCTGTACTTCAACGCTTTACACCAACATGCAACACATCGACTACTGACACTTATAGCATACCACAGAATCCCTGAGAGGGAACTCGAAACAAGTGAATATTAACAGTCTTAGATCCAATCCTACGAACCTAGTAAAGCCATAAAAGATAATAAAGACACCTGTATTGTCTTTCGCATGTAGACCAACACAGTGCATGCCCTGTTGCTACAGCTTACATCACACAGATATTGCAAGCCATTGAGAACGGGAGACTAATCTTGGCAGTAAGATCGCCCGTCACGTAGCTGGATTGGATTGGAAACGCGCACCTTCATCAGTATGCACGGGGCGCACACTATTACATTGCAGTCTAAGTCCTGTGCTGTCGCGAAGTTGCGATACCAGTGATTGGTTACTAGTAAAAACTGCCTAGTAAAGTACTACAGAATGGAGGCAGCACATATACTTAAAAAGCCTAAAACATTTATCAAGTACATCGACAGTTCAATACAGTTTGATATAAAATAACTACAAGTGACCTAAGTCTGATCCTAATTCATGGACACCAGAAAAAATTACGTTATTCATTATAAATTCTAAGACGCAGAAGAAACTCAATCAAAAATAAACGCACTATTGCAACAGGATTTATCTATTGTATTACTGACATAAATAATTATTTCATATTTTCTCTGTTTTAAGATATTTAGTACTTTCCTTTCAGACTGCTATCAGTTGTTAGTATAGGTAAATCAACAGGCACGACAATTGAGGAATATTTTAGATCAGCTGCGTACAAATCTCCTCTCCTGTCTGCACATACAGTACATTCTAGCAAGCAGCACCACGTCTCCTGCATTTCTCAGCTGGCTATAAGGCAAACAGGAGCTCACACTGGTGCTGTCTCGTGGCTAGCCAGCTGCCGCGGAGTGCTGATCTGTGCAGGCTTGCACAATCAACACCCAGAACACGCAGGTTCGTGTGCCGCTTGGGGTCAGCTGTCAATCTTCCAAATCTGAGACTAAATCTCTGTTGATATGGAGTTTTCTGTGCCACTTGGAATAGGTTCAATGTCCACAAGAATTCGTCTTCACTTATTTTCCCTTTTTAACCTTTTTGTACAAGATAAGCTCGTAATAGAGCCGTCATATATAGTTCCACTTCTCATGGCTCAGATCTCAGTGTACGTCGAGATTTATGTTCTTTACCATCCCTATAAGTAGACAAAAGATGATCACCCACCGAAGACCGCAACTGGCATCATCGCCTGTCTATAGTAATTCAGTGTCCTATCGCTACCTGAGCGCGGAGTAGACCTTTTGTATGTGCGGGCTGTTGAGTTCAGACGCTCGCTTTGTCTACCAGCGAGGCTATTCAAGGTGCCGAAGTTCGCGAATCCGCCTAAACACCTGCAAACAGAGACGAGACTCCATAGCTCCTTACCTATAACAATATATCCATCCTTGAACTTACCCACTCAAAAAATCACATATACTATAGGACACAGGCATTATACGCGCACACTAGTACCAGGAATTAGCTGGGCGGTGCTAGAACTTGCCTGTATTTTTTCCCAGAGCTTACTTAGTGAGGATCTCAGTTGCCAGTATGAGCAGGATGCGTATCGCTGAATAATAGCACCCAGGGATCCTCTTTTGTATGGTTGCGTCAGCCTATTTGCATAAACTCTGACGCTGATGCCACTCGGCGAGCATCTTAGCCTGAGCAAAATGCAGCGTGAGAATCTTGCATCCTCAGCCACCCGTAGCTAGGATGAACAAGGCATTAAACACATAGCCTCAACAGTGAAAGCCAGTTTCTGACATTGCGCTTTAATTTTTATTTTTTTACACTGATGAGTCAAGATCGTTCTCCATAGTCAACAGGCTTGACAGTGGTTTTCAAGCAATACATGCTCATCTGTAACCCTTGCTCCCCTGTCCTATCGCTGACTTCCTCCTTCTTCCGCCCCCACATATGACTACAGCCACACACCATGCCCACATTAAGTTCCACGCTTTTTTAGTAGCATGGTCTGCTAGTGCTCAGGCTGGATATCAGACTCCTACAACTACTCCCACCTGGTCTCCAGGTGTCCTGAACACCTGTCCGTGCATGCACCTGACGTATGTGGAAGAGGAAAAGAGCAGAGAGTAAGAAGGGCACGTGTTAGCTATAGCGTGACTTCAGCTGTGAATGTCATCTTAGAGCCCAAAAAGGGTCAGCACACCAACCCTCACTTCTCTAGGAGCGGCAGAGAACGATGAGTGTAGCTTCCCTTGCGCTGTGGAGAGCAGGCGAAAGGAAGGAGGTTTCGACCCCGAACTCGGCATTGATCACCGACCCACCCGGAGTCGACAGGGGCGCGCATTTTGTCTGGCTCGGAAGCAAGATAAACAGACTGTGTTTCCTTGGGCTAGTGTTTGTTTGTTCCTATACACCACATATGAAATGTGATCTTTGCACACACAGAGAATTTATGTTCTCTTCTCTGTATGTCTAACAACCATGCATTGTCTATTCTGAACTGACCACAGTACAACCGACAGCACGACACACACACACAACACACACAGCCAATATAAAACAGAAAAACAAAGGTTTCACTAAATGTGCACTGCTACTCAGGGAGCATTCAGAAATGCTGATTAGCCACCCACGGTTGTTTCCAAGGATCTGTGGGTGTGAACCCTCTAGCGTGTGATACACACTTAGTTACATCTCATGTGCGTAGCAGGAAAAGAGTGACGCAATTCGTACGGCAGTCCACTTAGCATGAGGTGCTAGGTGGAGGTGTTTAAGTAGACGAGAGTTAGTCCACCTTGGAATCCTGCAGCTGGAATAGCGGGAGGAATAGCAGAGAGGGAGCCTGCCACTTGGCTCCTTGCCTCTGGTAAAGAAAGCCTTAGTTCCCTTATCTGCAAAAGGACGGGAAGTCACTTTGGAATTCTTCTGAGTAAGGAAAAAGGGGTTCTGGGTGAACTTTACTGGAAGGTTGCTGGGTAAGGAGCTCACAGACCTAAAGGGAAAGTTGAGTGCGCAGCCCCCAGGGGGGACAGGATCCGGGGTGCCCCGGAGAGTTCCTTGGCAGGAGTTCCCGGGCCATCTCGTTTCGCCACATCCTCTTTGGGATGACCCTGCTCTAGCCCCCTTTTGTCCTTGGGTGTTAGTCCCAAGTCCCAAATATCTGGGAGAAGGGATCTCAGTGACTAACATGGGTTTCTTTGCAGAGCCGTTGAAATCCTGCTAATTAGGAAGTAGTAAAGTAGTTTCCCAAATAGGAAAGCAGGAGTGTTGTAAGGATTCTATAAAGTTGGGTATAAATCATTGTTTTGTCTCAGCCGTCATGACTCCGTCAGGTTTAGTTCGCTTTTCTTAGTTCCTATTCTCAGGGGCCAGGGAGAGTCCAGCTTGTAGAACGATCTTTAAGACAGTAAGATGATATCTTGTGTTTAACTCGATGTTTGAGGATGTCAAAAGATTGACCTTCCA